GGAGCCAAAAGTTTCCCAATGCTCCGAAGTTTTTATAAAAAAAGAAAGAAAAGAAAAAACGATGAAGAAGAAAAATAACAAGTCAGAAAAGAAAGGCCTAGAAGGAAAAATAAAGTCGAAAAATTTGAGTTCCACCGACCAACCGTCATGGCAAAGTCTGGAAAAACTAGAGGTTCTCCAAGGCCTGAAATAAAATCGGTCCTCAGGGAACAAGCAGTTGCAGTTGAGATCTTCATCAAAGAAGTCGGGGCGAGATTAAGTGATTGAAACGCTCAAGGCCACAAAACCAAGCATTGTTTCAAATTGACAAATTGTTCTTTGTTTTGAAAAAAAAAATAGGAAACATGTGCAATCCAAAAGCAACCTTGCAAGAAGCAGGTGCGACCAAAAAGAAACTTCGCAAGGGCTAGAAACAGCTTTGCAGCAACAACCCAAAAAGGGAAGTCTCTTCCAAAAATCTTTCCCGCATTTACTCATTCTCTAAAATAAAAAAAATGACAATGAAATGAAAAGAAAGAAAAGAAGAAAAATTCAAAATCATGGTAGTATAGGGTCTCCAATCCCTAGCTGCGTCTTTTCCAGCATAGGGTCTCACTCCCTAGTTGATGCCGGCATAACCCGATGACTTTTCCAATATAGGGTCCCACTACCTAGTTGATAACGACATAACTTGGTGATTTTTACAACATAGGTTCCCACTCCCTAGTTGATGCCGGCATAACCCGATGACTTTTCCAACATAGGATCCCATTCCCTAGTTAATGCCAGCATAACCCGACGACCTTTCCAACTTAGGATCCCATTCCGTAGTTGATGTCGGCATAACCCGTTGACTTTTCCCACATAGGTTCCCACTCCCTAGTTGATGCCGGCATAACCCGATGACTTTTCCAACATAGGGTCCCATTCCCTAGTTAATGCCAGCATAACCCGACGACCTTTCCAACTTAGGATCCCATTCCGTNTGATGCCGGTATAACTCAATGACTTGTCCAACATAGGGTCCTACTCTCTAGTTGATGCCGGCATAACTTGATGCTTTTCTAATATATGGTCCCACTCCCTAGTTGATGCCGGCATAACCCGATGACTTTTTCAACATACGGTCTTACTCCCTAGTTGATGCCGGCATAACCCGATGACTTTTTCAACATACGGTCTTACTCCCTAGTTGATGCCGGCATAACCCGATGACTATTCCAACATAGGGTCCCACTCCCTAGTTGATGCCGGCATAACCTGATGGCTTTTCCAACATAGGGTCACACTCCCTACTTGATGCCCGCATAACCTGATGCCAACATAGGGTCACCACTCCCTAGTTGATGCCAACATAGGGTCTCCATTCCCTAGTGTTGATACCCAATTTTTCCCTATATATTTTTAATCTGCATAAATACCTTCAAAATAACATGTATATATGTATATATAAGCATGCACAAGGTTTTTATAATTTTTCCCATAATTTTAAGGATTTAAATTGATTTATTTCCTTCCCTTTTATTCATAAAATCTCCAATAATTATCCCTCAAATTATTTTTATGGTGATTTAGTCATTTAATTCTATATTTATGCCAAAATAGGGTTAAAATATTTTTTATGCATTTAATAATTGCATTTTGTATTTTTAAAGCTAAATTGCGTATAATTGCTATGTTAGCCCCATTAATGTACAATTACATTTATATGCATAAAATTGATCTCCTATATTTTTAAAATGTTAAATATCTATTTTAAATCATTTTAGTACATGAAATTATTTCTTAGAAATTATTTATCATTTATTATAAATTATTTAAGGAAAATTGGCTATTTAAAATATAGCCAGATTTGCATTTCAATTGTAGCCCAATTTAAACCCAACCCCAGCCCAATTTCAGATTAAAAACACCTGGCCCAAGCCCTAAACCCGCCTACCCAACCAAATGCCATTTTAAATCTTGGCCGTTGATCTAAAAGATCAACGACCCTCGTCTGTTCTTACCATTTTTAATTCCAACGACCCCTAACCCTAGCTCATTGTTCAGATACCGCCGCTTCTGTATTCTATCATCTCCTTTCCTCTCTCAACCACTCAACCTAACCCTAGCTCCTTCAACCGCCGACCTTCTTCTCCGGTCTTCTTCGGTGATCTTCCTTAAACTCCTAAGCCTCCATTGGCTCCTCTAATGATATGCTTGCCTTCTATAAGGTCTTCAAGGGCCCTGGGCCACACCGACTTGCATCTAGGGTTTGCTATTTGTCTGTTCTTGGCTACTTCAGTGTGATTTCAAGCAAAATCATGTTGTGCTTGTTACGATCCTTGGGATTCTAGACCAGCTCTTTCATCTCTATTTGGCTACTTTAGTATTTTACACTGTTGTTGGGACTCTTTTAAAAGAATCATCGATTTCAGTTTAAAACTTTGTTTAAACTGATTCCTTATGTTTAAACTTCCATCTCTTGCATATTCCGACTGATTCTATGATTTTACTGTCTTTTCAACTCGCCTATGTTGAAAGCCCTAATTTTCTGGACTTCTTCGTTTGGTTCTGTGTATTAGCATGACTGCTCGTTTCTTGTTTGAGTTTCTATGACTATCTTGCTTCGAATATGTTCTTACTAAGTTCTTAGGCTAATTTATATCACCTCTATGGGCTTATGTTCATTTTGATTGTTCGGACTTGCCTCTTTCTATCGATACTGTTTAACCTGCATGCTTGCTAGGTCTGGTTATTCTTATCTTCTCTATTTATATGATGAATACAGAATCATGACTCCCTCTTTGATTGATTCTGGATTCCCTATTTTTTGGATTTGATTGAAATACCTTCCTTTAAACCCTCAATTTCTACCTCTTCTATTCAAATTAACTGATTCGCCTACCTTGTCTGTTGTGGTACTTTATTCTTACTGGCTATTTCCTTAATTAAAGTGTTCTAAACTTAGCCCTAATTGTTTACCTTATACTTACTGAATTTGAATCTTTTCTTATTAGTCATACACTGATTTTTTTCCTTATATGCTACTTGTTCCTACCGTTTGAATTGATTCCCTTAACTCTAGGGAGTACTTGTCCTGATTTTGCTCTAATTGGTTTTGAGTTCCATAATCGTTATGCTACGATGATTCTTGCCTTATTTTACCTAATTTTCAAACTACTATATATACACACTCTCTCACTAACACAAACACATGAACACTTTGGTTCAAAAGCTCTCTCTTTCTCACACTTAAACTTTCCGCTCTCTCTCTCTCTCTCTCTCTCACTCTCTCTCACTCTCTCTCTCTCTCTCTTGTGCTACTTGTTACTATTTTGAGTTAGCCGGCTGCAAGCCAATGATAAATATTGCGCTCTCCTACTCTTTCACTCTTGCTTACTGTCTTCTTTACTGGTATGTTCTAATTTCAATTCAAGGTCCAAAAACAATATGGTTCTTTTATTGCTTTAGTTCATCCTCTTTCTAGTTTGCTTTTACTTATGGTTTTGCTGTGAAACCTACAGTTAATTATGACAACTCGGCCAGTTGTCTCATGTGTTACCGCTTTGCTTTTCCCATTTCTACCTCTTTATGCTTTTTTTATCCATATTATGTGATATCAGGCTGGTCAGATCGAATCCGGAATAATTTTGGTAAGGTTTGAGACACTTAGTCTCTTTGGAATCAGTTTAGGTTGGAAAAGTCAACCGGATGTTGAATTATGTATTAGAGGGCTCGGATGTGAGTTTCGATGGTTTGGTTAGCTTTGGGAGGTGATTTATGACTTAGCAGCGTTATCGGAATGAGTTTTGGAGGTTCGAAGTAGATTTAGGCTTGAATTGGCAAAGTTGATATTTTGATGATTTCCGGTTGATAGGTGAGATTTTGGTATAAGGGTCGGAATAGAATTCTGAGAGTTGTAGTAGTTCCTTTGTGTCATTTGGGATGTGTATGCAAAATATCAATTCATTCGGACGAGGTTTGGTTGGGTTTTGATCAAAAGCGTAATTTTGAAGATATTAGAATTCTTAGGCTTGAATTCGATGTGATTCGGTGTTTTGATGTTGTTTTGATTGTTCCGAAGGTTGGAACAAGTTTGAATGAGGTTTTAGGATATGTTGGTGCCTTTGGTTGAGGTCCCGGGGGCCTTGGGTGAGTTTCGGATGGTCAATCGGACCATTTCATGCCTTGGAGAAGTTGCGAAATTGCAAGTTCAGCTGTTGCAAAGATTCCTTCTCTGTGATCGCGTAGGGCTTCTTGCGATGGCATAGAAGCTTTTGAGGGGGAAGTCCATTTGTTCTTCATGTTCGCGAAGGTTGATCTGCGATCGTATAGAATGGTGAAGTTGTTGATCGCGAACGCGTAGTGAAGGTCGCATTCACGTAGAGTTAAGTGGACCTGGGGTCTTGACTTGAATTTGTTCATTACGAACGCGGTAGGAAGTCCGCGATCGCGTAGAGTTAGTTGCCTGGGCATCACGTTTGCAGGGTGTCTTATGCGTTCACATAGAGAAGTTTTTGGGTGCTGAGAATTTGTGTTTCGCGATCGCGAAGGATTTCCCGCGATCGCAATGAAGGAAAATAGGCCTAGGCAGAAGGTTTAAAAGGTCGTCTTGTCCGTGAATGTGAGGTTTATTTCCCCCATTATTGGTTGTTTTGGAGCTTTTTGAAGGAGCTTAAAGAGGGATTTAAGGGGAATTACTTGGAGGTAAGATTCTTGGACTTAAAACTCGATTCTAACGTGAATTCCACCTAAATAATCATGGAAATTAAGCCAAAAATTGAAGAACTAGGGCTTGAAATTGGGGACCTAAAATTTGGGATTTAAAGGGTCATTTTTGGATGGATTTTGATGTTTTTGATATGTATGAACTCGTGGGCAGATAAGCAATCCATTGATGTGAATTTTTTTTGAATTCCGAGCTGTGTGCCCAGGGGTCGGGTTTTGGTAATTTCGGGATTTGTGCTATTTATTGATTGTTTTCGATTGGGCTTCGTTCCCTTAGCCTATTTTGACTTCCTTGTTCTGATTTTGGATAGATTCGATGTGAAAGGAGGCCGATTCGAGGGGCAAAGGCATCGCGAGTTAGAGATTTGACCTGTTCGAGGTGAGTAATGATTGTAAATGATGTTCTGAGGGTTTGAAACCCCAGATTACACATCATAGTGCTATATTAAGGTGAGGCACATGCTTGATGACGAGCGTGGGGTCGTGCACTCTTGAGGATTGTGACTTGATCCATCCTGATTGATAATTCTACTGCGTATTTGACTGAAATCTATTTGTTGTCATTATTATTTGGGTTGAATGCCGTATTTGGGCCTTGTGCCAACTATTTGAACCCTTCGCGGAATTTTATTGGTATTTCCTCACTGATTTGACTTTATACTTGAACTCAGTCATGTTATTTTCCACTATTTTCATACTCAGCCATGTTTACTCAGTTTTAATACATAAATGATATTTTAAATGATGTTTGGGCTGAGAAACACTGTTTTACTATTGCCCAAGTGGCTTGTGAGGATTTTGACTGAGTGAGGCCGAGGGCCTATGTTGTGAGGAAACATTTGATACTGATTATGAGGCCGAGGGCCTGAGATATGTACGCCACGAGGTGGCTTGATTGATATGAGGCCGAGGGCCTAGTGATGACGCCACGAGGTGGCTTGCTATTGCGCTTGGGACAGGGGCCCCTCTAGGAGTCTATACACCCCCAGTGAGCGCTGGTACCCATTGTGATGTGAGATTGAGCCCGATGGGCTGGTATTGTTCTATGTGATTGCCCGAGGGGCTGGTACTGTTCTGGTATGTTGCTCGAGGGGCAGATTTTTGATACTGTGCCCGAGGGGCGAGCCTTTATGTGTTTACTTTTCATAATTGACTGTCAATCACCTGCTTAATTATTGAAAAAGGCTTTCTCATGAAACTACATTGGAGTTAAAGGATTTTAAGTATCTTTCACTGATTCACTAATTTTAAATGGTTTTACTTCCTCATTATAGAATGTTATGTGCCGTACGTGATTACTTGCTTTTAGTCTTTATTTACCTTTGTTACTCACTGAGTTGGAGTACTGACATTACTCCCTGCACCCCTGTGTGCAGATTCAGGCGTTGTGGATCCTGCAAGTGTAAGTTGAGAGCTCCTAGCACATATTAGAGACCACGAGGTAGTTGTTTGATGTCCGTAGTCATGTGTTTCTCCCTCTTTATCATTTCTATCTTGTATCAGACATTTGTAATAGTTATAGACTTTTCAGACTTGTATTATGTTTTATAGATGCTCTTGACTAGTGACACCCTGGTATCGAGCTGTGTTGGGTTGTTCTTCCGCGTATTTATGATATTATCTGCTACTTTGGATTATTTTATCATGTTTCGACTATTTCTAAATGCTTAATTGTTAATAAAATTGGAAAATCGGAAGTGTCGGTTGGCCTTGTCTTCACGAGAGGTGCCATCACGATCGGGTCCGGGTTTAGGTCGTGACAAGTTGGTATCAGAGCCTAGGTTACATATGTCTCATGAGGCATGAGCAGGTTTAGTAGTGTCTCAGGATCGGTACTAAGACGTTTGTATTTATCCTTGAGAGGCTGCAGAGCCTTTAGGAAAAACTTCATATTCTTGAAATTCTTGTAGTATAAATTTGTTGATCCGAGTACTAAACTTCTATTGTTCTATTCTCTCATATATGGTGAGAACACGTGCCACCGAGCAGGATGGACAACCACCAGTACCACCAACTGTGGCCACCAGAGGCCGAGTGTTACACCCCATGTTTTAGTATGTAAGAGTACGTCATAAGTCAATTAATGTAAGTTCAGAAATGGAATCATCTTTCAAAAGTATACAAAGTTAGTTCATCATGTTAACGTGGATGTTACAAATATTTAAGATCATTGATACCATGTAGCAAGAGAGTTTGAAGGCTTAGAAGCTAAACAAATTGAATAAAATAAGTTTCGTCGAAAGTCGACAAGTTGGAATGTTTTACCATGTACTTTTGGGGTGAAACTAGGGTTATTAACACTATAAGGAGATTATAATATGAGTTATTTTAGTTGTATGATAGTTGGTGTTATGGTTTGAAGTCAAGCGAGTTATGGAACAAAAGTTGGAAAAGGTCATCACAAGTTCCATTAATAAATGTGCTGAAAATTAGGTCAAATGTAACTGAGCTTTTCTTCCAATATACTTCGAATTAGGGGATGATATACCTACAAAATTAAAGATCTATGAGTCTAGTTTCTAAATCATTAAACCGTTCATCAATATGATATCGGAGTATTGAGATATTCGCATTTTCGCGAGACTGCAGAGATTAGTAGGTGACAAGTAAGTGCATCACCTACTTGCCAAAATGAGAGGACAAAATTATAAGCTCCAAAGTCGGACAAAAAGGGACTTTTAAGGGATTATCAACTCAGTTGTTTCACCTATATTTCAGACCATGAAAACCAAATTGAACCCCTGCAACTTCTCCCCAAAAATCCCACACAAACCCTAGGGTATTCCGGGTGTTACGATGCGATTCTAGTGCTGAAAAGTCCGGACAGCTTGCTAGTTTCTCTTTCTCCTTCTTGTAGCCATGTTGAGGAACTTATTTTTGATGAAAAAGGACCAGGTTTCGTGGGTTATACTCAGTACAAGGTAAGTTTATGCTTCTCCTTCCATTATCTATGCGTTTGCGAGTTGTAACTTGATCGTAAAGAATAGACCTAGCTAGTTTCGAAAGAATGGTATGTTGTTTGTTCTTGTGTAATGGTTGGCTGGTTTTGAACTTATTTATAAGTTGAATTCATGTCTTGTTTATTGGATAATAGGTACAATGACATACTTTTGGTTGTATTTCACAATTTGAAAGAAAAGACAAGTTGAAACGTGTTTAAGTAAACTGAAAAATTATTTTTGAGTTGATGAACTTGTGGGACTATTTTTGGGCTGTTTCGTATTGGTATTGGGTTTTATATTTTACTACTATTATTATGGAGTTGAGAGGAGTAAGGGTGTGGAGAAACACCACATAATGACAAGGTTGTTGTTGGTCATTCGTAGAAACATTTTTGAATTGTTTGACACTATTATGGTTGTCGTGTTGTGTATGAAGTGATAGGGGTATGTTGGTATGTTTGTGATTGTTTTGACTAGTGTTAAGTCATATATATAGGGGAGGTGCTGTCCATTTCATTGTAAAATAGTTGTGGTCGATACATAATAGTTACGACGCTTAAACGATAACGAGAGTGTCATTTCTCTTATTGTAGACTAAGGAGCCGTAAAATTGCATAGCTTGAGGTTGGGAAGAATATACAGGGCATGTTAAGGCACTTTCTTCTTTCTTTTGGCATGATCTAAAATGAAATGAACATAAACGATATGATATTTCATAATGACTCTACTCCTAGCAACTAAGGTTGTCCATGTTGTTCTTTCCGTACAAAGTTATTCTAAGAAAGTATGTATGATCCTTGAGTCCTAGTGAAGTTCATATTGATGGTATGATGTCCATAATGCTAATCGAAGGTGCAAATACCTTACATCACTCCGAAAGGTTTAGAACGTGATTCCATGAGTCGAGCATGCATTATATATAAGTATCTATTTTACTCTACCGAGCCGCACTATAGTCGGCCGGGTACAACACCTATTGTGGAACCACTGATGAGTTGGGTTTACCGAGATCCACGTGGCCGAGTACTATTCTACCGAGCCTTATGATGGCCGAGTACGTTTTTACCGAGTCCTCTTTGAGGCCAGGTATGATATGATGATGATGATTCCCAAAGAGGGGTATGTTATTTAAAAGTTTGTGTATATATATATATATATTATGCATTTCATGTCAGTAGACCCCAGAGGCACTCAGATGTTACAGGTTGTATCTCCTCTATCTCTCTTTACATTACAGTTCTTATATATGTTTTCCTGCCTTACATACTCGGTATTTTATTGTCCCTTCTTTCTAGGGACGCTGTGTTTTATGCCTGCATGTCCCGATTGATAGGTTGACAGTCCTTCAAACAGGCTATTAGCTCAGCGGAAGCTATTGGTACACTCCACTTGCTCCGGAGTTGCCTATTTGGTTAGTATGCTTTGGATATGTATTGATTGGTATGGCGGGGCCCTGTCCCGACCTTTATGATATTAGGTACTCTTAGAGGCTTATAGACGTATGTCAAGTGTACGTATACTTTTATGGCCTTGTCGGCCTATATTTTGAGTTTACAAATGGTCAGGTCGGCCTTATAGGCCCGTATGTCACATAAATAAGTTTGTATATCATGTTGGGTCATCATATATTGAGTATTCCCTTATGTTTTATTCTTGTTATCTCATGAAGAGTTTTCTGGCTCATTTACCCATGATAGTATGATAAGAAAGATATGTTACGTTGGTACTCGGTTGAGTAAGATACTGGGTGCTCATCGCGGCCCATTCAGTTTGGGTCGTGACAGAAGTGGTATCAAAGCAGTTCCGTCCTAAGGAGTCTACAAGCCGTGTCTTGTAGAGTCTTGTTTATGGGTTTGTCGTGAACCATATTTATAAGCAGGAGGCTGCAGGGCATTTAGGACTGTCACTCTTTATTCTTACTCTAGATCATGTGGTAGAGCTCAATTGTAAGAATTCAAACTTCTAAATTCTATTTTATTTGTAACACAATGATACCTCATCCAAACAGATAGTTGGTAAGAGATTAAATGTTGTTGTGGAAGAGTTGAGTCAATGGAACTCGATTTTGCATCATGCTTATGATGAGTAAATGTAAGGTGTTCAACAGATCATCTATGTACTAAGATGTGTGAGCTTCTTGATAAGGAGCCCCAATGAATGAATATCTATCCACCCATATGGTAAAGAGAGACGAGAGAATCAGGAGGTGGATACAAGTTTCAATAAGTAAAAGAAGCAACTTGAAAAAGGTTACGAGGCACCAGTTAGTGAAGGTTTTGAGTTTTTACAATTTAGGTAGAGAAATATATGTATTCTGAGTTACATTCAATAGTAACAAAGGTATGTACAATTGGCCACACCCATCTCTGTATGCCCTATGGAAGTTGACAGATATAGTTTAAGAGAAGAAAGAGATATCAAGATCCAATTGTGGCTAGATTAACCCAAAATGGTAGATGGATTATTATAATTAGCTAACATTTCCGAAGGATATTGCAAATGTGGTAATAGTTCTCGTTGTAAGACACCCCGGTGGTGCAAGCTAGAATAGTACATTTACATATGAATACTAGAATGACTGGAAAAATTTAGAAGAATGGCACTGGAATCCTAGAAGGGATAAATATTTACCTTTGTATGGCTCTCGTTCCTAGTAAAGAGAGAATGCTAGGTGACCTAAAGAGCCAGTGAGATGAAGCAATGGGAGCTAAAAGTGAAAGAATAATTTGTTGAAGTTATCAGAATAAAGTGATAGACAGAAATATTAGCCGGAGAATAAGAAGAGAGTAAATGAAGCATTATGAGTAAGATGTAATAAATGGGTGATAACAGAAAATCAAAATACAACACGATGACAGAGTTTATAGTCAAGTAAAGGAAGATACAAGAGGTGACATGACTTAAGGCAATAAAAGAGTATAAGACATAAAGTCATATTCCCATTTCGAGAAATGATTTGGTGACTCCAACGTGATTACCATAAGGAAAGGTTAGACCCCAGAGTGATAGAAATCAGTATGGGCTGGTAAACAAGATAAACCGAATATGAATAAGGGACCGAATGAGTTTATAATATTCGTCATCGTGAGAATTTCAAAGATAGCATTGAAACAATAATAGAATGGACAACAAAAGAATAACCTTTAAGGTTTATTCAGGAAGACGCTTCCCTAAAGCAAGCACAATGAGCAGAGTTAAGCTTAAGGGACTAAGTGTACCAATTACACTAAATGTCACCCATGTGCGTAAGAAATTCAACTATCCCCGGTATAGAAAGGTTTCCTCAAGGTGAGTAAAATGTCAGTGAAGATGTGAAAAAAAAATAACAAAGATAAAGAGGTAACTATGGGATATTAAAGGAAGCATGCGGTGAAAGGTGAAATGAATGAGAATGCATCTGTTCAGATCCTACAGATATGATATGACTCCAAAACCTTATGCAAGTATGATGCCAGGAAGAAGCAATAAGGTTTCATCACTCGACGATATTGATAAATAAGTGCAAAATAAACACTTGATACACAAGGAGCCAGTACGATAGGTAACTTAAGACAAAGTAAATAACCAAAGAGAGATTACGCGGAATATAGATATAAGAATGGACCAAC